GTCCCTGTCCCCGAGGTGACACTGCCCCTGTCCCCGAGGTGCCACTGTCCCTGTCCCCACCATGCCCACCCCGTCCCTATGCCTGTCCCCGCAGTGCCACCCTCCCTGTCCCAGAGGTGACACGGTGCCACCCTGTCCCCGTCCCCGCCGTGCCCTCGGTGCCCGTGTCCCCGTCCCCCCCGTGCCACCCTGTCCCTGTCCCCGTCCCCCCGTGCCACCCTGTCCCTGTCCCCGTGCCCGCCGTGCCCTCGGTGCCCGTGTCCCCGTCCCCCCGTGCCACCCTGTCCCTGTCCCCGTCCCCCCGTGCCACCCTGTCCCTGTCCCCGTGCCCGCCGTACCGACGTAGCTGAGCAGCACGGGCAGGAATGCCAGGCCGTGTGCCAGCCCCAGCAGGGTGACGATGAGGTTGAGGCGGAAGAAGAAGATCCGCACCAGGCGCGCCTTGGCGAACGCCAGCACCGCCACGCCCGGCAGGTTGGTCATGGCCACCCCCGCCACCACCTGCGGCGACAGCGGCAGCGCGGTGACACCGAGGGACCGAGGGACAGCGGGGACAGCGGGACACCGACCGAGGGACAGCGGGACAGCGGGACACTGACCGAGGGACAGCGGGACACCGACCGAGGGACAGCGGGACACCGAGGGACACCGAGGGACACCGAGGGACAGCGGGACACCGAGGGACACCGAGGGACAGCGGGACACCGACCGAGGGACAGCGGGACAGCGGGACACCGAGGGACAGCGGGACACCGACCGAGGGACAGCGGGACACCGACCGAGGGACAGCGGGACAGCGGGACACCGAGGGACACCGAGGGACACCGAGGGACACCGAGGGACAGCGGGACACCGAGGGACAGCGGGACAGCGGGACACCGACCGAGGGACAGCGGGACACCGACCGAGGGACAGCGGGACACCGCGGGACAGCGGGACACCGACCGAGGGACAGCGGGACAGCGGGACACCGAGGGACAGCGGGACAGCGGGACACCGAGGGACAGCGGGACACCGACCGAGGGACAGCGGGACAGCGGGGACACCGAGGGACAGCGGGACAGCGGGGACACCGAGACAGCGGGACACCGAGGGACAGCGGGACACTGAGGGACACCGAGGGACACCGAGGGACAGCGGGACACCGACCGAGGGACAGCGGGGACACCGAGGGACAGCGGGACAGCGGGACAGTGGGACACCGACCGGGGGACAGCGGGACAGCGGGGACACCGAGGGACAGCGGCCACCCCGCGGTGTCACTCCGACAACGGGAGGTCCCAGGGTGGCACATCCCAGCAGCTCCCACGGTGCCACCCCCAGCCCCAGGAGGATTTGGGGTCCCTCGATGCCACCCCCAGCCCCAGGAGGATTTGGGGTCTGGGGTCCCACAGTGCCCCCCGTGCCCACCTTGCTGCCCATGGTGACAGTGGCCTCCTTGGCCCGTGCCACCTGCGTGGGCTGGCGGCTGCGGGCGAAGGCGCAGGTGATGTGGGACACGAACTCCACCGAGATGCCAACGGCCTGCGGGCACCGGGCGGTCACCCGGGCACCGCCGTGCCCCCGGAGCCACCCCCGGAGCCACCCGAGCCACCCTGTGCCACCAGAGCCACCCTGTGCCACCAGAGCCACCCCCGGAGCCACCTGAGCCACCCTGTGCCACCAGAGCCACCCCTGGAGCCACCCGAGCCACCCTGTGCCACCAGAGCCACCCTGTGCCCCCAGAGCCACCCCCGGAGCCACCTGAGCCACCCTGTGCCACCAGAGCCACCCCCTGTGCCACCCTGTATGCCCCAGCTCCTGCTGCCACCTCCTGTGCCCCCAAAGCTGCCCCGTGTCCCACCTCACGTGCCCAGTGCCACCCCACATGCCCTGTGTCCCCGTGCCACCTCTTGTGCCCCATGTCCCCGTGCCCCCCCACATCCCCGTGCCACCCCACATCCCCGTGCCACCCCACATGCCCCGTGTCCCTGTGCCAGCCTGTGTGCCCCATGTCCCCGTGCCACCACATACGTGTCCTGCCTGTCCCACGTCCCCGTGCCACCCCCCGTGTCCCCGTGCCCCCCGCGTCCCCGTGCCAGCCGCGGTGCCCCGTGTGCCCGTGCCCGCACCGCCACCAGGTTGATGAGCGCCACGGCGTTGTAGGGCACTGCCCAGAGCGCCATGCAGCCCACGGTGCCCAGCAGCACCATGGCGATGGTCAGCAGCGTGGCCAGGCTGGAGCGGGCATCCATGCCCAGCAGCAGGAAGGACACGGCGAAGGTGGGCACCAGGCACAGTGCCAGCGTCACCAGCCCCTCGTACACCACCGTCAGGTACTGCTCGTAGTACACGTACGTCACCCTGCGGGTGGCACGCGCTGGCACCGCGCTGGCACCGTGCTGGCACCGCTGCGGCACTGGGGAACCTGAGATGGGCACTGGGCACCCCGAAACGGGCACTGGGGAACCTGAGATGGGCACTGGGCACCCCGAAACGGGCACCGGGACCCCTGAGATGGGCACTGGACACCCCGAAACGGGCACCGGGACACCTGAGATGGGCACTGGGCACCCCAAAATGGGCACCGGGACCCCAAAATGGGCACTGGGGAACCTGAGATGGGCACTGGGCACCCCAAAATGGGCACCGGGACCCCTGAGATGGGCACTGGGCACCCCGAAATGGGCACCGGGACCCCTGAGATGGGCACTGGGCACCCCGAAATGGGCACCGGGACCCCGAAATGGGCAGTGAGATCCCTGAGATGGGCACTGGGCACCCCAAAATGGGCACCGGGACCCCAAAATGGGCACTGGGGAACCTGAGATGGGCACTGGGCACCCCGAAACGGGCACCGGGACCCCTGAGATGGGCACTGGGATCCCTGAGATGGGCACTGGGCACCCTGAAATGGGCACCGGGACCCCGAAATGGACACCGGGACCCCTGAGATGGGCACTGGGCACCCCGAAACGGGCACTGGGCACCATGATATGGACACCGGGTACTCCGAAATGGGCACTGGGACCCCTGAGATGGGCACTGGGCACCCCAAAATGGGCACCGGGACCCCGAAATGGGCACTGGGACCCCTGAGATGGGCACTGGGCACCCCGAAATGGGCACTGGGACCCCGAAATGGGCACTGGGACCCCTGATATGGGCACTGGGCACCCCGAAATGGGCACCGGGACCCCGAAATGGGCACTGGGACCCCTGAGATGGGCACTGGGCACCCCAAAATGGGCACTGGGCACCATGATATGGGCACCGGGTACTCCGAAATGGGCACTGGGATCCCTGAGATGGGCACTGGGCACCCCGAAACGGGCACTGGGCACCCTGAGATGGGCACTGGGCACCCCGAAATGGGCACCGGGACCCCGAAATTGGCACTGGGACCCCTGAGATGGGCACTGGGCACCCCGAAATGGGCACTGGGCACCATGATATGGGCACCGGGTATTGTGATATGGGCACCGGGACCCCTAATATGGGCACTGGGCACCCCGGTGTTGACACCCCTCACCTGGGCACCCCTTACCTGGGCACCCCTGAGTTGGGACCCCTCTAAGCCCTGACCTGGGCACCCAGTAGTGCCCCCCAACAGGGGCATCGGGGCATCCCCAGCCCCGCAGAGCGGGCACCGCTCCCCGGGCACCGCTCCCCGGGCACCCCCGGTGCCCCCAGCGGGTCCCCCCGCGCGTGGCGGTGCCCGCGGGTGGCAGTGCCACTCACGTGTAGGGGAAGACGCGGAAGGCGGGGTCGGTGCCGGGCACGGCGCGCAGGGTGCCCGTGATGCGCTGTGCCAGGGCGCGGGCGGCGCGCAGGGCGGCCGTGTACTCCTGCGACGTGCGCAGCGGCCGCTGGTACGCCATGAAGCGCGTGGCTGCGGGCACGGCGGCGGTCAGCGCGGGCACCGCGGGCAGCGGGCACCCCGGGGCGGTGGGCACCGCCGGGGCGGTGGGCACTGCTGGGGCAGTGGGCACCCCGGGGCAGCGGGCACCGCCGGGGCGGTGGGCACTGCCGGGGCGGTGGGCACCCCGGGGCAGCGGGCACTGCCGGGGTGGTGGGCACTCAGGGGCAGTGGTCACCATGGGGGCAGTGGTCACTCAGGGGCAGCGGGCACTGCCAGGGCAGTGGGCACTCAGGGGCAGCGGGCACTCAGGGGCAGCGGGCACTGCCAGGGCAGTGGTCACTCAGGGGCAGTGGGCACTGCCAGGTCAGTGGTCACTCAGGGTCAGTGGTCACTCAGGGTCAGTGGTCACTCAGGGGCAGTGGGCACTGCCAGGCCAGCGGGCACTCAGGGGCAGTGGTCACTCAGGGGCAGCGGGCACTGCCAGGCCAGCGGGCACTCAGGGTCAGTGGTCACTCAGGGGCAGCGGGCACTGCCAGG